AACAACAGCCACTGGGGCACAGCAGAGGTGTTTTTTGGGGTGGTGAGTGAACATCCTTTGGCTGCACCAGGGTTGCTCCCAAATGGCACCAAGCACTGTCAGGATCCTTTGTAGCTCAGCATCCCCTCTGAGTTTGCTCCACTGGCTCCAACATGAGTGTGAGGTCCTGGTCACTCCACACCACCCTGCCCTGTGGGTCTGTGACCCAACTCATTCACAGTCCAGCTTCCCTGAACACAGGTGTGGGACTTTGCTCCCTGTATTTTGTGCTGTAAAGCTCGGTTTTAATAAATGTAAATATCCCAAAGACTGCCCAGCACAAAACCAGCACCCTTTCTGCTCTTCCAGTCTGCCAGCTCACAGAGGCAGTTTCTTCCAAGGTTGTCTTTTTTGATGACCATCAGTTGTAATGCAGTGATGTGTGCTGTCAAATGGGCTAACTTGGATATTTCTCTCTTTATGTAACAGAAATTACCTGTCAATTTTTTCTTACTGGCATGTGTTTCCTTTGACAGCCTTGTCCCATGTTTGGTTGACAAGGAGGCAAGAAATCAATTTTGTTTTTTTTATTTAGAAATAAATGCATTATTCCTAGAGCCCAGACTAAAATGTAATACATTTGACATTTCCACATAGAGGCATATTACTCCTCACACACACTGCACTTCACAAAGCAAGAGGTGTCTGAGAAGAAGGAAACCAAATGAAAGTGAGGACTCTGGCTAGTACAAGCTTCTGGTGAGCTGTAGTTTCTCAACAACAGCTGTAAAATGGACTGAAGACCAAATCAGTTAGTGAAGGGAAAATACATAAGGAGAGAAGCGTTTATGGGGAAGAAATGGATGTGGGTGGATCCCATATGTATGGTAGGGGAGTTCTGCTCCATGGGACCAACTCCTTGCTGGAGTGGTCCGTGCTTTTCTGTGGTTTTCTTTGCCTTTCTCAGGCTTGTCTCAGTCAGGGCTGTTTTCAGCCATGTCCATCCTTCCCTGCTTCTTTCTAGTCCCCAGGCTCTGCAGGAGAGATCTCCCTTCCCAACAGGCAGCATGGGAAGGAGCAAACATTTCTTTGTTCTGAGTCTGTCCCTTCTGCATCTCTGTGCTAACTTCCCAGAGGCCAGAAAATTGGCCTGCCACTCTGTGGGAGCAGCTTCCCTTGTCTCAGCTGCCTTATCTCACAGGCTTGCTCTGGAGGAGCAGAATGCTGTGGGCAGGTGGATGAGATGATTTTCTGGCACAGATACAGCTTTGCCAGGTCAGTCCAGCAGGCTCTGCTGAGGTTTGTTGAAGTCTGTGAAGAGGTAATGACTACAAACCTCAAATGAAGTCCAGGGCTGGGAATGCTGCCTGACTTGGCAGAATTGAAACCCTTGAATAAGAGAATGTTCCCTATGCTGTGTTCAGCTGCTGCAGGAGAGGGGGAAACTCAGTCTCTCCCCGCATTCCTCTTCTTCTGTGGCTGTGGACAGCTTGTGCTTCCCACAGTTGTTCAAAACACAACTTGTCTTTGGGGTGTATTTGCACAGCACAGACGAAAAGCAGACCTGTACTCAAATTAGGGAACTGATTTCCTTGTTAAGATGGGGAAAATTTGTTGCACAGGAGCCACACATTTGTTGGGCATATGCTTCCCTTTATAATCAGTTTAGCTGCAAGCTGGGCAGTGGTGGTATCCTTGATTTATAGCAGACACCAGGTCATTTTTGTTCCTTTCAAGGTTTCCTGAAATTGCTTTGCAACCTCTGCAAAGCTTCAGAGTGCAGAAACATTACGCAGAATTACACAGAGTACTCTGAGCTGAAAGGCCCCCACAAGGATCATTGAGTCTAACCCTTCAGGAAATGGCCCAAACAGGGATTGAACCCACTTGCAGAGGCCTGGTGTGTTTGGATAACCCCTGATACAGCAACAACCCTATGGAACTGTCACAGGCTCTGTGAGATGACACCACAGCTGAGTTTCTGAGAGCACTCTAAGTCACAGAGCTGACTTGCTTTGGCTGTGGTGAAATGCTGCTCCTTGTCATGGGGGATGATGTTAAATAAGTTCTGGAGGGGGAAAAAGGTTACTTTTATTCTTTCTCTGCCTTTTCTCTCTTACTCTGGCCAGAGTAGCTGTCACCTCTGATACAGCAACTGCACCAACCTCTGCAAGGATGTGAGTGCCTCATGTTGCAACAACACACTGGTGCTGGTTCTTCCATTCCAGGTAAATACACCCTCCCATCTGGCTTGCATTCCTGTCACTTCATACTGGTTTTAGTGATTGCCAGTGGTTTATGATGCATCTAAAACCATCTCAGGCTGGTTCACTGTGCTGAATTTGGGCTCTTTGCTAAGGACAGTGGTATTTGATGGAGTCTCAGGTTTAGGACACCTGACTTCAGCCCACATTGAAGGTTGACCTTGTGGATACATCCCTGGTTGCCTGCAGGGGACATGCTGGGGTTGAGGGAAAACTCTCTGAATTTCCTCTCCTGCCCTGCCTGTGGGCCCTAGGACAGTGTCCATGAGGGGCCATGGGGAGCGATGGAACCTCTGCAAGGGCTTTACATGGCCTTCATATCTTGGGAAAAAATTGACCCAGCCCTTCTTAAGGGTTAATCTATTTTTAAGATTAGCTCACACAGAGGTGCTGTTCAAACTTTAAACAACTTCAGTGTGAGCTCATACAGGCTCATGGCTGACAGGGACAGGCTGTGGTCGAAGCATCTGGCTCCCTACCAATCCCTGGCAGCCTGGATGAGCCCCTTGGCAGAGATGTTCATCACAGACAGCTTCTGAAAGAGAAATAAATGAATCCATCTGGTGAATTCTGGCTGGGAGAAGGAAAGGGAAAAGGAGGGAAAGCAGACAGCATTATCTGTCCTCCACGGCAGGGGAAGGAAGATGAAGTCCAAAAGTGGAGATAGAAGGAGCACGGACTCATTTTCAAAAAGGAGCAGCATGCAGATGGGGTGATCTGAGGGGAAGATGAGGCAAGTGAGAGGCAGGACAGACAGAGCTGTCAGCCCCACTGTCCTCTCTGAGGACATATGCCACCCCTATCCTGGGTACATACCCTTGGAGTTCTGCTGTTCCAGGGGACCTGGAAGCCCCCAGCCTCTGGGAAGGAAACTGAGATAATGTGTAGGGCAGCTCTGATCCTGGCTGTGGGGAACTGAGGACATGGACTCTTGGACGTGTGCAGCCCCAGGAAAAACAAAGCAGTGTTGCTGCTTGGAGCTGCTGCAGGAGGAGATTCCAGCCTCATCTCTGTTAGGTACTTCCCAACCTCGACAGCCATTTTCTGATCCAAAACTGGCTTTCTTAAATACTCTGGAAAACTTAGGCTTTGGTGGCATGCTTGAAGATGTGTGTGGCCCACAGAAGCACTGGATGACATCAGCCTTAACGTTTTGGGTCACCACAGTAGGGTTCCCACAGTAGGGACACTGAGCAGAAGACAGCACTGCTTTTGCTTCCCAGTGTTCTGAGGCTCAGTTTGAGGTTCCATCAGTGACGTCTGGGCAGGCACCAGAGATCTTTGGTCCCTTGATATTCACCCAAATGTTGCAAGCCCTCATCTGCCCTGTCATGAGAAGCACCAAGCCTGCCTCAGCAGTAAACAACAATGCAACAACTGGACTTGAGCCTGTGGAAAATGCTGTGCTTTGCCTGATGGGAAAATCTTTTAACATCTACTGGTACCAAGTGAACAGGTGGTTAAATTTTATGTCTGCCCCCCAACTCCTCAAATGCAAACCTTTTCCCCACTTACAGTGTTTTCCCCCAATTTTCTTCTGAGTTCCAGGACATCCCCACCAAAGCTCAAGTGCAGCATCACAGCAACCAGGAGCATATACAACAGTAAACCATTTTGTACATAGTTCCCTAAAGCAGTGAAATATACTTCTGGATACTAATTTTATCATAGAATTGGCCTATTTTGGCAATGTTAAGCCTGCTCCTAAATCAGATAGGAAGTGGCACCCCAGGGATGCTGGGGCTTGTTCCCATCAGACTCGACTGATCAAGGCCAAGACCATGTTTGTTGGTTTAACTAATTCAGAGCAGTTTGGGCCATTTTATACCTATTTGCTTTCCCTCTTACTTTGTATAATCCCTTTGTTTGCTGAGACAGCCTTAGGCTTTGTGTTTCCTGTGGGAGTGATGGAGCACAGTGACAAATGGAATTTTAAGAGGAATGACTGTGGGAAGGAAACGTGTCCCTGCACCTCTCTGTTTGCCAGGCCAGCTGCACATGGCCCTTGGAGACAGCATCACTCCAGCAAGTACAAGAGCAGCTTCAAACTTGAGAGGTCTTTGTTCACCTGAGTGCAGCAAACCTGTCTAAAACATCCCT